TACCCTTCTAGATTGTGCCTTTCTGACATTTGGCTCCTAAACAAAATGTTTCAAGGCATAGACGTAAACGACTGAAACTTCTACAAACAGCGAGAGAGGAAAAAGCTTGTCAAATATCCTTCTAGATTGTGCCTTTCACATTTGTCAAATGGCAAGATACAAAAGCAGAATTATTTATACAGACACAAGAATTAATGCATGTCTTGTTTCGGTTTACATGCATTATTTTCAATGACTTTACAAGATTCTTCCATTTCTTACAAAATCCCTTCTATACTTACTATCCAATACCTGTCCTTTTTTTTTTTTTTTTTGCTATAGTGTAACTTCAGCTTTGTACTTCAACAAAGTATTTTGAAAAATAGTGAAAAATTTCCCTCTTTATACATTGCTGATTTACAACAAGCATCCTGTTCCTTCTAGTTAAGCTACATGCTTCCCATTCAAAGTACATTGAGTTTCTCCAAGAGAAGCTCCCGTATCTACCACTATGGAATTTACCTACTTCCAGTTTCTCAGAGGCAGAACTACATTTGTTCATCAAGGCTGGCACACTGGCTGATGAACCAGATGGTTCAAATGCACTTTTTGTAGTAACTTCTCCCTGCTTCTTTTTAAACTCTTTCCTTTCTCCCCTGAGGATTAATATTCTCTCTCAATAATCCTCACACCCTGAAAAGAGAAAATCTTAAAGGAGATCGTGATCCAGAGAATCTGGCTATGCCAATACAGGAAGAAATACTGAGACAAGAGAAGTTGGTGAAATAACTGAACAGAATAGAACTGCAATATATAGAGAGTACAAAATATATGGTACTGCATACAAGAAGTAAAGCCAGAAAGGAAAAAAAAATAGTACATTTATGGAAGAAACACTACAATAGCTTCACTATCAAGTTATACTAAATTTCTAAGTACTGCAAAGATATAACCACCTTGTGTAGATTTTATCCACGAACAAAGATTTTCACAAGTTTTGCAAGGAAAAAGAAACAAAAGAAAAAGTTGGAAAATGAAACTGAGGAAAGGATAGTATGTCCTTCATAAGACATCTCCAGAGACAGAAATCAGTTCAGTATTTTAAAACCCCAAACAAAAATCACAAAAGCGGGCATTTTAGCAGGAGTTAGTGCCCTAATAGTTATTAGCTGCCTTGTAAGTCTTTTAACTACCACTTAGACTCTACAAAGTCAATTACAAAAGTTTACAGGTACTTTAAAAGAATTTGGTAATTAATCCCCAGACTTACACTTCAAAGAATTTTCAAGAATCATTTTCCATATCTAGCAGAGATTCTCCCAAACAAGATAAAAGGGAAAACAATCATTTTTTCTGTGTGTCTTTCAGCCAAGTCACAGCAGTATGTTAAGCATTGGAATAGAATCTGCAAACTATTCAAATTTCACACAGACATGCAACAACAATGCTCTAAAACAGCATACACAATTAATTCATAGATTATTCAGCTAAACCTGGAAGGTAACACACATGTAGCTGAAGTTGGTGTCACTATGAAAAACATATTGGTAGATCAACATGAGGATCTGAGAACCTGGTACGGGAATCAGGACCACAAACGCCTCCTGGATACCTACAACCACTGGCAGATTTCAGATAAAGCTGAAATTAAATCTGGCTGCAGACCAGACCCCAGTTGCTTCGACAGTCTTGCCTGCAGGACTTCCTTTCCCCCAGGCTTCTCATCAGTAACTCAAAGGCTAACTTGTTTAGCAGGATCCCTTTGTCAACTAGGCTTTTGCAAGAGCCCCACATACAACTTTACTATTTAGGCAGGACTAAAGAACAATGTAATTAATACCTGAAAGAGAGAAACAGACTGAGGGCAGTGAATACTGTGGCATATTCTCTCCTGTGCCTTTCCCCAAAAACTCTGTACCCACACAGAGAGAGATGACAGATTACTTATCAACTGTCCCTCACAAGTAGTGAGTATCTGGACAGATCTGGTATATTATAGGAGTCCGTCAGCAAACAGTGATATTCTCACAGTTCAGGTAATTGTATTTATTAGTCATCTTGTAATGGGAGGCTCACTGACAGAAAATGCAAGTCTCTTGGCATCTCCTAGGGAAAAATCCTTAAGAGTGCTTTTAAACAACTGCATTGTACTTTTCCTTCTAGCCCTATTTACTCAAAATATTTTAAACAGTTATTCTTTTCTATCAATTGAAAACCTGGATATACTAATACATATTTCTTAGTCTTTCTAGGGGAAAAACAAAACCAACATTCACTTCAGAGACTCCCCAGCAACTCCTGAAGGAAGACATCCTGCCCAAAATTTCATCAAGAGTTGTAAGTGAATAAATTTTTCAGACTTCTTCAGTGACAAGAAGGCACAACATTTCAAGATTGTTCCAGCAGACCAGTAGAGGGCCCATGTTCCCGAGTCTCCTCCTCCTCGCCCATACAGCTACATCTCTGAGTTGCACTGTCACCGAGCAATTCAGTCAGGGACTTTATGTAAACAGTTATTTGTAGGCAAACAGGGCATGGATTCTAGGTGGGCATGGATATCCTTAGAGAACCTCGAGTTGCTTCCAAGTTGTTGTTTTAGTCAAAGAAAAAAAGATGAAATTTCCATTAGTTTGAAAGGGAGAAGGATCTCTGCAACGTGTGCTAACCTTTTAAATACTAAACATCACTGTCTAAGGTTTGCAACATCTTAGTATTGAAAACTGTCAAATGTTACCAGGTGCCACCCACAGACTTCGCAAGGTATACCAGGGCTCAGTGCCGAACCTAATTAACATCTTGAACTGCGTAAAACAAAGAATCTGTTCTCTGTGTAGGTGGTACACAGTTAGAGAAAAAAAAAAAAAAAAAATCACATGGCCCATGACTTACCCTTTTCCCTAAGGAAGCGGACCAGCTACACAATCTACATTTCCGTACAATCCACATCAGACTGACACAAAAATCAGAGATGGCACCAGACATGCTCAAGGGTCACACGGCTCACTAAAATTTGCAGGTGCTTCTGAAGTCTGACGCTAGATCCTTTGTTTAAGAGGTACTAAGAAATTTCTGAGAGAATTCCCTTCCAAGATGAAAAGACACTTTCAAATTCAAAATTCCCACTGCAAAATGCTCCTGTAGGCCTAACTTGTAGTTAAATGATGAACTCTGGAGATAACAGGAAAAAGATATAAAAGGAGTCCAAAACCATAGTTCTTCCTGAAGAGAAGAAACTGCTGGTCACATAAAGCAACTGAACCAGGAGAGAAAACTACTGTATTCGGGGCTTTCCAGATTATTTCAGTCTCCCACAGCAAGAATTCCACCTTCATGTTTGTCAGTCACAACACAATGGCCACAAAGCCTGACATCCCCATGATCTACAAATGCTGTATAACACAGGAGATAACTTGCTCCACCTCACCACACTGCAGATACTGCGCAAAAGGGAGCCAGTTCATAGGCTTTATGCTCACCAGGACTCACCTGCCTTCATATCCTCTTCTGCAGGTGCTCCACAGACTTCCTTCACTGTCACTCCCTGCTGCCCTAGGATATCAGAGACCAGAGCAGCAGACAAAAGACAGCAGGGAGCTTTGATAAAAGAGGGTAAGATTGCTAAGTACAGGGCCAAGCTGGCTATTCTGTATGGATTTCATAGCCGTTGGCAAGTTTAGGTAGAGAACGCAGCAAATGCGTATTTTGAAAGTGGAAATAAAATGAAGTTCAAAGTGTTATGGACTGAGAGAGGAAGGAGAGAATGTGATAAAGTTCAATAATTACCAAATTCAGAAAAAAAAAAAACATATAGAAGACAATCTTAGAAGCATAAAATAGCAAGCCACTTAAGCTCCAGTTTGTCAAAAGATAACTTTTAAAATTAAAACAGAAGTATGGGATTTGCACAGCAACCTCTTACAAATGAGACTCAGCAGTAAGAGGGAATCCAGATGCCAGTCTACTCCGTTTAAGTGAGCACGAAAATAGAAGACACAGAGGATATACAAGGGACACATCTGACAGTCTAATTGATAGGATTTGGATTTTATACACCAGGATCACTAGACAAAAGATTAAGTGAAGGCAGCTATGGTAGGCAGTGGATCGTAATAAATTTGTAAATAAGGGACTGCATCGAGTACTCTGGCAGGAAAAATGTAAGCTCTATTCTAATTAATTTTAGGTAACAATTTATTTAAGAAATGGTCGAATACGATCTGTTCTTAAGATACAAAAAAGTTAGTCTGCAACACAAAATGCCACTACCACACACATCTATGATATAAAGGAAATTTTATTTTATAAACTCTCATGAACAAAACAGTCTTCATATGGAGAAGCCAAGGAGGGAGTTAATGTTTATTTACAAATGGAATTTAGTCTACGTGCTAGCAGATCTCTCTACAAGGTCTTTTTTATCTCAGAACACAACTCCCCCATATTATAGGCATTTAACAGACAGCTTGCAGTTTACTTACAGTCCAACAAAGTTTCACAAACATAAAAGTTCATCAACTGACTCAAAATAAATTAGAACACTGCTTGCACATGGAATATGGAGTTGCATCAGCAAACTGCAAAGAAAACTGAGGCAACTGTACCACTCTAATGAAACAGTATTAGCTACCAATATATACAGTCAGTTATGTATAACACATGAACACAAAGTTTACACTTCCTCATTACTTACACTGCAGTGCAAACAGAGCACACACCTCAGCTGCCACATCAATAATTCTTTTTCTTTCACACACACTTCTTTCCTGCATTTCCCAAACACACTGCTCCACAGCAGCAAAAGCTTTCTTCTGGTTCCGTGCTTCTCATAAAAGCATCACACTCACAAGTTTGGCTGCTGGGAAACTAAGGAGGAGGAAGAGGCAGTTTTACAAACCCTACTACACCCAAACTTCAGTAGCATAGGAGGGACCTTCCAGGCCACGTTACAGCACCCTACAGCAGTTTCAAAGTGGACCCGCCACTTATATACACGATGAAGTTTCCTCAGAAGTGTCCATCAGTTAAATATGAGCTCTCGCTTTCCATGCTGGTACCTGTTTGACTTCATCGGTTCTTAAGAGGCTAGATTTTGTATTTGGCTTCAGACTGCAACGTCCAACCTGGGGAGCAGGGATGGAGTTAAACAAAGTTATACCCAAGACAATTGAATGAGAAGATGTTTACAATAAAGACAGTTTGGAAGAGTGATTGCACTCCTCTTAACATAGGAATAATAAAAGATTAAGTCTATGCAATTGCTTTAAGTACATTTATTCTTCAAAATACTCAAGGATAAATAATTAGAGGCTTGATTACAAGGTCATGAGATTATTCTGCTTTAACCAGAAAACGCCCATCCTTTCTCTATCTACTCTTGAATAAGCTGGTCTTAAGCAGTTTCTTTTCCAGGACTGTAATTCAGCTATCAGATCCTGGAACAAAAGCTATTCCATAAACAAGCTGTTCCAGGATTTAACTTTGCTGTTTATATCTAGGATCAGGTATGTCAGCTAGGCAATGCAACCGTCTGCAGCATCCAAAATAGAAGCCTGGCTACTTTTAAGAAGCTTCTAATTTTTCCCATGGAAAAAAAAAGTCAACAGGGAAATTTATTAAGACTGCAACAGAGGTGTTGACTCACTACAGTGTGTAAAACACATGCTACATTTCATTTGCAAAATCCTTGTGGCAGTTGAAATAAAAAAATCGTTATAGCTAGAAATAGAAACAGACACCTTAGTTCCCCTTATTTTCAGCCAAGGAGCTAGGCAGCTAGCCACCTGTATAAGCAGTAGCCTTCAAAGAATGTCTGGATTTCCATGGTTTGTTTTGCATTATTATTTCCCTCCATTAGGCTAACAAATGCCACAGTCCAAATGTTTATCTCACTCTTTAAGATATAAAGATAGAATTGCAAAGCAGAGAGACGCAGTTTAAATCTCATTTAAGCAGTTCTGAGGTTCGTGGAAGTCTCTGACAAATAACCAACAGTACCGATGGACTGTGGACATGGAAGTAGCTCACACAGGCTGCTGTACAGAAACCAGCGCTCAGAATCCCCTTAGTCCGACGGCTCTGTCTACCACACTTGTCTTATTCATAGCAAAACCTGTTTTTCATGGGCTTTGCAACAGCATTCAGAATCACACCTCGTTCTAGATAAAGATGAAAAATGATATGGAAATACTACATCCAATGCTTTCATTTTCATTTCTGAACACGTAGCACATGTTAGTCAGACCTGTCTGTATCTTCCTAGCATCTTTATCTGTAAAATTAGTCAGTAAGTAGTTAGTATTACTAACTAGACACACAGTTTCTATGCATGGATACCTGCCAGTTACCATCAAGCAAACGTCCATAGTTCAATCAACTATGAGCTGAACTTTAAGTCAGTCTTCTAAGTTTTTCCTTTTGGCACATCTAGAAATGTATTTACTAGTCTAAATCCACCCAAAATAATTAATCTTTTAGATTCTCTGCCTTGATTATACTTGAAAAATACTACTGCCTAGGCTGATGGCTTAAAAACACTGTAGAGAAGTTGTAAACTCGTTAAAACCCTGCACCTATCCATGAAAACAGCAGTCACTTCAAGAATATTAAACGACGTTCTTACATAAAAACATACCAGTGGGATCTCTGGACTAGAAAATGAGGAGCTACCAGAAGATCGGTTTTCTTTGTCCAAGGAGTCATCTTCATCATTATTTTGATGTGCAAATTTCTGCTTTAGTGCATGAGTTAGTAAAGCAACTGGATCCCAATCTGTACTCCGCCTCTTTTTGGGTTTCAAAAGAGGAGTACCTCCAGGTGACCTACAAAAAAAAAAAAAAAAATTATCTCCCACCCCTAATACTATGCTGAGTGATGCAGAATCTAGAGACACAACTTCTGTATACACTCTATCCTACAAATCCCTGATTACAGAAGCAATGCTGCTAATGTTATTTTACAGCAATTCACCCCAAAAAAGACTAATGTAAGTACACCAAACAACTTGTCAGCCAGATTCTTAGCTTGAAAATACAACTTGATGCTGTTCCGCAAAGGAAAAATGGCAGTAAATCAACACGAAGTATTAAAGTATTGCAAACAGGTGATGAGAAAAAGCAGCAAAATGTGCAGTTTTCATAGCAAGTCTCATTTATAAGTTATATTAAGGTACGGAATCTCCCACTAACATATTTCATAACCATTGTGAACATAATTTGATTTAAACTTCATGAAGTTTGGAACAGTATGCCTTTCTATAGTCTCACGAGAAAGAACAAACTTAGAAAACTCCTCAGAGTAATTATATTTCAAGAAAACAACCACTTTGTTCAAGTCAAATATGCAGCCAGGTGACCTTAAAGCCCCATTTATAAACCACACTTAACTCAAGTTCCATTATAAAAAAAATTATCATCAGATTTGGCACAAAGGCTTCAAACACAGTTTTTTCCCCTCCCAGTGAGCATCTGAGCATCCAAATATGAAATTTTTAAGGCAGAAATCAAAAAGTAGAGTTTGTATTTCAATTCAGAAAAACTGTTCTTACCAAATTCAAAATCAAAAGATAGCAAACAGATGTAAGATCAAAACAGCACCTGCACCCCAAAATCTAACATAAATGTGGAAGTTAGTGACTAGCCCAAGAAAATAAATTGTAAGACTTCCTAACCATTGAGATATTGGAAAAAAAAAAAAAAAAACCCCCACAACAAAAAACTAGAGGTATTCAGACTTCTGCTAGTAAAGTGCTGCCTCCAGGCTAATGAATTGTACCTACTGATGCACGCTGAACCGACAACACCGAGTTCAAAGTCTGGCAGTTACAGTAGATGGCATTTAACATGAAACCTGAAAGGACTGAGTTCACCCTTCCTATAAAATCAAGCTGTTAGAGCACTTGCCCAATGTGTAAGCTGGTGCTCAAGTGGCAGAAACTGGGATCTTCAGGCTCTCAATTTCCAAGAACAGAGGTCTTCCCTTTACAGTGCACGCATTAAACTACTGTCAGACTGCTGCCTGAAAGATTATAGCAATTTTGATCATCATTACTCCTTCCAACAATATAAACTCATGATTCAGCTAAGTTCTACCTTCAGAATACAGACAGATGCCTAAACACAGAAAGTGTTTCAGATGCACACCTACCACTACACTAATTATGCCCCTGCTCGACATGATGGTTGTTAAAACCATCAACCTGAACATTTCACTTTCTTCACTCACCATACATGGAATTACATGGAAGAAAAACATACATAAGGAAACACACAGGTTTACCTAAGTGCACTTTGCATTTGATTTACTGTGAAAGTATCATCAAAAGCATAAAGATATGCTTTAGAGTTGCACACAGATAATTTGGCCAAGACTTATGCTAGTTATTTCCATGGGTAAGGCTCACAGTTAAGAAAATGCTGAAATAAGAATGCATTAAGTTTTAGTGACATTCTTCCCACACTCAGAGCTTCAAATATTCACTACAGACTGTATTCTCACATACTTTTTCATCTCAAGAAGTTCAGCAAAGACATCTGACAACCTCTATTAACCTAGCACAGCAGAGCAACACTGACCCGAAGAAGTATTGCAGTCTTTAGTAACGCATTTTTGTAACATGCCAACTGTGTTTACCAGCAAAACAGCACACCGTTAAAAATATTTATAATCCAACTGTACTACTGAAATACAAGTTTATGAAACATTTTCAATAAAAGATACAGCTTTAACACTTCAAAGCGAGGACCAGGATACTTTGGGTACATTAACAGTAGTTTTCCCAGTGTTTCCCCAAGGATTTGTCCTTTCACAGTGAACCCAAAAAGTTCATTTGTTCAGATCATTTTCCTGTGACTGTGTACACAACTTTTTAAGCGATCTCCAGATAACAACACATCCACCTCCCCACACCCACCTGCGATTCCTATGCTAAAGCAGCAGAGTAGTTTTAAATGCTGTGATATTCAGCATGTTTTAAATGCATCCAAAAGCCATGTCACAAGTATCTTACGCTCCAAGCTGTGAACTTACAAGTTGCCAACTTGTCGGCAGTAGCTGCTCATTAGGTGATGTTTTACATTGGTGTTCTCTGGCACTACTTAAGTGCTGTCATGCTTACATTGTCTTGGCTTATTCAGACACACGTTCAATTCAACCTACCTCTCAACAGCTCGCAACTGAACTTTATTTAGGTCTTTCAAAACATCCATCATACTAGGAATGTCCTTTGTCCTCTGGTGATCAGCACTATCAGTTGCAGTTGAACCACTGTTTCTTGCAGCACGACGTTGTTTTATAAGTTCAACTGCTGAATTACTAGCCTCAACAGCAGATGGTACACCAGAAGGAAGTGGAGGAGGCGAGGGAATTACAAAGTGATTGTGAGAGACGGACAATGGCGTAGAAGTCATGGCTGGCACTGGGTAAAATCCATCTGGAATGCTGAATGTTTTAAAGGCTTCTGGATGCAGTTATAAAAAAAAAAGTTATGTCATTTTTAGTCAGTATACCTTCACAATTAACAATATTAAGCAACACCTAGGATGATTCAGTTTTAAGTCAAGACAGCCCTCTTAAAGCACTTTCTTACACATCTCACACATTATACCACAGAAGAATTATATGTAAACCAAAGAATATTTCTCATTTCAAAGCCACAGATTCAGAACACATGAAATAATGAGTCTGAGGCGTCTTGTGCTGCTCTGATTTTCTCCATTTGTGTCTCCAACCTAAGCACTAGATATGTCAGCAAAGCAGCACTCGAACAGCAAAGCAGCCTGCTACTACAGTTCATTCTCAATGGTTTGAAGGTTAGACTAACACACACGAAGCAAAAGCAAAGATAACCACAAAATATGTAAGAGAGACTACAATACTGAGTGCAATGGAGAAGAGAAAAGAAGAGCCAACAGCTAACAGAATCACAGAGGTGCCTCAAAATGCCACACAAAGGTAACTACCTCGTGCCAGTCCAAATATTTCAACATCACAGTGGGGTTAGTCTGGAAGTAAGACAATCAAGACCACAAAACAGTCACAAGTTAGTTGGTCTCCCATACAAACTTCTGTCTTTGATACTCTATTGACACATCTATTTGCAGCATTTGTTTTTGTTAAAGCCTGAACCTGACTGACTTAGAATACTTTTTCTATCCATTAGTTTGATAACTTGTCAGAAACAACACAAAACCCAAAAGGGATAATTAATAGTCTGTAACTTTTTTAGACATTAACTGGTAGCCTATGGGTAGTGGTGTTACCAAGCTCCTTCACAAACGTGGAAATGAGTATAAAGACCACTTAGGATCAACTGCATTTGAAATTGGCAAACCGACCCCAAAATAGAAACAGAAGTAGGGTGAGCACAAATACTAAAAAGAGAAACAAAATACTGTAGTCTGTAAATGTAGTTAGTGCAAATTCAGTTAGAGATGTCCTCTATGAATACCAGACATGGCAAGCTGTGAACAGGAACTCTAAAGCAAAAAAGAAGGAAAACTGGTTTGCTGCAAACCAGAAATGCTTACGTGATGGAACGCTCCCCAATGACTGCGCTGAAACAATCGCAGCAATCTGAGCACGAAGAAAGGTTAGCTCATCTTCAAGCACAGAAATTTTCTGGAGTGTTGCTTGATCAACCACACTGTCTTTTTGTGTACTGTTTTTTGGAACACTTTGTATTGAATCTACAGATGGATGTAGGTCATGATAAGCTGTACTTTTTTCTTTTCTCCATAATTCAGTCCTAGAAAGCAATAAAAGACAGTTTCAAAAGGCTCATCCAACAATGGAAATCTCTAAACTTACTATCTTTTCAAGCAAGTTCTCGTCATTCAAGACGACAAATTTGCAAACTACTTAAGAAAACTTTACGCTTTTGATTACTCATAACCTTAAAAATATTTTGTCTCCCTTTGTTCAAGTACTATGCAGATCCTTGAAAAGTCATCATAAAAAATAGTCAGACAATTTACTCTGGGATAATTATAATCTAGATCTTCATATAGTCATAACACAGGATTGAACTGTTGTTATTCAATAACTATTAGACTGACACCATAAAGGTGTCTCTCCCTCCTCCCTATCTGAAACAGCAGGTATGAAAGACGAGAGTCAATGAATAATGATGTCTTAATTAGGCGTCACAAATTTTAGTCATTTATCAAACTCCACAAGATGGACACTGTAATCAGCAAAGAAGTTGCAATCTTTCAAAAAAATATATTGGAGACTAATAATGAATTTTAACATGCACTTACAAAATAAGAACATCTTCTGTAAGCTACATATGAAGACAGACCACGCTATAAAATTGTGCTGCAAGTCTCAGGTTTTAATTTTAAAAATTGTTTCAAGTCTGTGCCTGCAGAAATAACCTTAAACTATAGAACAGGTGTAAACTCCAACTACCAGGATTTCATTACGAAACAAAGAAAGAAATTAAATTTGCTTTATTTAAAGATGCACTAAGTTTTCATTGAAACAAAGCCAGACCCTTTTCCCTTCTATTAATCATCATTTTACTTCAGATGAGACCTGCAGCATTGCTTTCTGATTTGTCAAAACCCCTTGCTATTCACACTAGCTCAGAAGGAAGAGATATCAATTAGAACATTTGTTCTTGAAAAAAAATTCACAGAGCCAGGACAGGAAGAAGAATGGAAACAACAAAAGAATGAACTTGCATGGATCTGCAAATCGGATCAGCTAAAGAACATCACAAGCAAGACAGGACAGGCCACAGTTCCTTTAAATAATATTCTTACTCTTCCAATATTATACACCTGTTGCAAAAAAAATTTTAATAATTCAACAGTAACGTTTCAGGAATCATAAGTTGAAACACAACTTTATCAAAACTTCTCTAATAAAAAGCTTGTCATTTGCATTACTCAGTTTCTTGTCGTTTTAATACCAGCAGAAAGATCACAGACAAATACATGCCAATATGAAGTAGAATTACATTGTCTCATACGGACGTAGTACAAGACAATACAAGTGTCCAAATTTTAGTCTTGCTTCTGGCTGTCTGACTCATCCTCTGATTTTGAACAAATCCATTAGAGGAACAGTAAGACAGCTTTCTACTTCTTCTCTAGTGGGGTAAAAAAAGACAAGATTTGTATACTATTTGTGTCTGCAAATTCTTGGATAATTTGTTATTTCACAGTATTTGTAATATTTTATAATTGTAAAAATATTTTCCTTTTGCACTCTGTAAATGCTATAAAGTACGATATAGCTGGAGAACAGAAGGCTCCGGGGAGACCTTACAGCAGCCTTCCAGTGCTTAAAGGGTAGCTACAAGGAAGATAGGGATCAACTCTTGATCAGGGAGTGCAATGATAGGACGAGGGGTGATGGTTTCAAACTGAAAGAGGGTAAATTTACATTAGATATTAGGAAAAAGTTCTTCACCGTGCAGGTGGTGAGACCCTGGAACAGGCTGCCCAGAGCTGTGGCTGCCCCCTCCCTGGCAGTGTTCAAGGCCAGGTTGGATGGGGCTTTGAGCAACCTGGTCTGGTGGAAGGTGTCCTGGCCCATGGCAGTGGGGTGGGAACTAGCTGGTCTTTAAGGTCCTTTCAACCCAAACGGTTCTATGATTCTATAAACTATATTCAAGGTAAATTTTTGAAATAAAGAAACTATGTTTTTCTTTCCATCAAGGTTTACACACATAGCACTATAGCAAAAGGAGACGTTTAAGCATTTTTTCTTGTTTTCCGCCTTATAAAGTTTATCAAAGTGGTTGCGAACTAAAAGGATAAAGAATAATCTTATGCTATGTTGCAATACTCAAGTTTCCTTTAAACTCCCTCTCTCACAAAATACTTTGTGAGTGAAAATAAATTAAAATACCAGTAATGCATCTGACATACTATTAGGAAGAGAAAAGAGGGGACTCGATTTCAGAAATCTTTCGGATAAGAACTCTCTGCACAGTAAAAATTTTCAGGTAAGCAGGAACTGCCCCCCAAAAAACACAAAATGTTTCCAGGGTTGGTTTAGCTGGAACCCTGAAAGCGCTAGGAAAAAAAGAAAAACAAACACAAAACCACACGCCACAAAGAACAGAAGACATAAGTTACTTCTGTTACTCCTTTTCATACTTTTACTTACCTAAGTCTAGTAAATGCTTGTCCCTCATCATTTGCCACCCACAGGACATCAGCAAGAGATGGAACTACAGGAGTTGGAGCTGTGCTTTGTTCATTGTAACCCAATGGACTTGGGTCTTGAACCAGCTAAAAACAACAAGAAAAAAGTACGGAGAAATCAGATTCAGCATATACTGAAAGTTCTGCCTCAGCAAAAGGAGTTTTTAAACAGTAAGGTAAGCAAGTTGAAAACAATGAGCATAAGGCATGCAACACACAAGTTACAGAAGCTAAAAAGAACAGGAAAGCTATCATTAAATTAAGAAACCAGAAAATTTAAGTAGTTGAAGTGTATGTATGACAACAAAATCGCTTACTTGGAAATAAGGTCTTGGGTAGGGCTGTAAGGAAAGAATTGTCCCAAGTCTTCGCACAACACTTCGAGTAGATCCGTATTTCTTTTTTTGGCAAACAGATACTACCTAGAAATCAGAATATCTTTTAATCTGACAAACAAAATCAAAGCCCTCAGTTCTTACAACCAAAATTATTAAATAATTTCATGTTATATGTAATTAAACATAACGCAATTAGGTTAACCTAAATTTTCAATGCTCTTCTTCCAAGTAACAAGCAATAGGACAAGAGGAAATGGCCTCAAGTTGCACCACGGGAGGTTTAGATTGAACACTGGGAAAAATTTCCTCACCAAAGGGTTGTGCAGGGAAGCAGCTGAGTCACCATCCCTGGAGGTATTCAAAAGAGTGTAGATGTAGTGCTCAGGGACATGGTTTAGTGGTGGGCTTGGCAGCGTTATGTTTACAGTTGGACTCAATGATGTTAAAGATCTTTTCCAACCTAAACAATTCTGTGATTCTATGAAAGTCAAGAGAGGCCTACGCTGGTTTTAACAAACTTTCCAAAACGCTGCCAAGATATACCTGTGTCCAGTACGTTTTAGAGCGGTAGAAAGGCCAACAAAGAATGTAGCAGCTACATCATGAAGCTAGTTAATAGCCTGAAATACTGACAAAAGACAAAGCACTCATTTAAGTAACCATATACACCTATGTAAGTCTTGGGCAAAAAAGTTAGTAAAAAAGTTAAATAAATTTAACATACCTTGGCCTGATACTTCCTCATGACTACATATAACTGCTGGAAATGCCTTCTCGATGAGATTGCTGAAGGAAGGCACGTTCTGATTGTACGACCGATACTGCTGCCAAACATCTGAGTTTCCAAAAATATGGCCTGTCAAAAAAACCAAGAGCTCCCAACAACGAAACCAGAAAATAACCAGCCTAGCTCAGTCAAACTATAGTACTCCTAGAGACACTTTAGTACTTCCACAGAAATAAACTAGAACTTCCTCAGAACTCCAAGCTGCAGCAGTGCCTCGCTATTGACACCCACCACTACAGAGGTGCCCACAAGCTCCAGCTCGAACACCAGACCCCGACACCGCACTAGTTAATCTGTTCCGTTCCCCACGCGATACCCTTCCCAGCTCTCTGAGCACACAGGGTCAGCTGTTGCTCAGAAAGCGTTATGTCGCCTTTCATTTAAAAGAGCAAAACATTAACAGCTAAAGTTACTGATTTCTTTCCCCCGTTCAGATAAAAAAGAACCACCTGACTGGCTGTATCAGAACAGCGACCCGACGCAATCCCACACCGTGTCCAGTTACACTCACGAAGCTCCCCCATACCGACAGGGCCAAGTGTACGCAAGGAGCAAGGCCCATCCTG